TCGATTTATGAATTTCGAATAGCAGTATACTACTGTTGCCTTTATATGTCATTTGTCTAAAAACCTTCAACAGGCTCCTGGCGAAAACCTTAATCTGTAGTAACCAGTTTATACTCTCATCCTTAAATATGAATAAAACACCTTTATTTCGTTCCTTTTTCCAACTTTATCCATACCTAAACCCAAAAGTGATAGACTAGTCAATATGATGACGCTGGTACCTAGTTAAGCGGTATAAGAAAACGTGGAAGAATTGGCTATATTTTTGTAATAAATGATTTTGTTCACATTTGAGTGTTACTTTTTGTCTTATATATTTACTGATTGTTTAATTTTCAATAATGTCTCTGGTAAAGATATCTTTACCCGAGCCTTAGCAAAATATACACAATAGAAGCTAACTGAGACAATTGCTATTAAACTTTCAGAAAGGTAAGACTATAAAATCAGAAAAGGGTCGTATGTTTGAATTGTTGTAGCAACTAGCAACTATTAGGTTTTCCATGTTTTTAATCAGTTTCTATCGCTGATGTGTGATAGTTTTGATCGATTTACTCTGAGCTCCGCTTTTATTGGTAAAACGTTGGTTTATATATACATGAAGAATGTTTTTGTTCCAAAATTTGCAAGCGGAAATTTCATAAGATAGCATGTGTCTAAATCAAACTTTACATTCAACAACTTTGTTATTCTTTCGAAAGGCGGAACTCCGTTTGATAGCCAGCCTAATGGCTACAAAGATCAAACCTTACAGTTCCGTTCTTACCCTGTGAAAAAGGTCCGTTATCTGGGTAATAATTTATTTCATATTCTTATTAGGGCGTCAGACATGAAACAAATGAATAATATCAAAACAACCAAATAGCTATATGGATAACATGTTTAAGATCTTCTAATTATTATCAAGATAAGAGCCAATGCGAAATATAGCCATAAAGAAATTTTGCTTCAAGATATCTTATATGATTAAGATGTTTATCGGGGTAAACATTTTGTAGGTTGGGTCTAGGCTTTTATATCTTATGTTGCTAATATACTGTACATTTTTGAAAGACTCATACTGCTTCATAAATATTTATCTGTCAATATTTCAAATACTACTTCACCATATACATGATATACTCATACGTTGATATCGCTTATTATACAAAAGCTTGATTTCGAATCGTCATACTCCAAGCTCCAAGTCATATAATATATATTCCCTACATCTCAATGATTGATATGACGAACAACCTAATACTCTTGTAAATATACCTATACTACAATACTTCGTTTCGTGAGTGATTATAAACCGAGCCAGAATTTGATAGAACATGGGTCAACAACTAATTTAACACCTATCTTGTAGTATTCCATTAATATGTGTTTGTGTTATTAATTTACAATCATAGATTACGTTCGCAGCATTTTTAATCATTAATTCTTTGAAATGTACAAACAATTTGAAAAAAATAAATTGGTTCTTGTATATAGTCCTTGCTCCAGGGACTTTTTGTACATTTCCATTCCTGCACTTCCTGTAAATTTATTGTAGACCAACCTAGCCATATGCTTACCACAAGACGATCCCCTAAAAGAAAAAAGAATGAGTGAATTACAGAATAGGCAGACAAAATATCAGTTAGAAATCAAATCTTCTGGACAACCTGCTCAGGTATTTTTGCAACAATGTTTATCGTAAAGTGCAATATAAAATTCAACTTAATGTCTTACAAATAGCTAAATCAACTAAAAGACTATTTTTCATATAGAACTTAATTCTGCTTTTTGAAAATTTTAACGAAATAAAAGCAAGTGGCTATAAAATTTGTGCATGAAGCGCGGAAGTGGATTTCAATTTTTACATTCACAGATTTCCGAAATAAAAACATTTTAAGTTATCCAATTATCAAATCTGACGGTACAACTCTAAACCCAAGACTATAGCGTCCGATTAATATATCCTCTTGAAGTAGCTAGAAATTAAAGAAACCACATATACAGCTTCTTCCGATTTTTATACATAAACCTAGAATTTTATAACAGCGGTTATCCTAGTACAAGAGTCTATGAACGTGACGATTTCAATTTTAAAATAATAAATTGCCCTCACCTTAGCAGCAATATTCCAATTTCACTCGCGTATGCAGTATACATTTCCCAACTCTCACGATATGTAAGGGCTTGCAGCTGCTACTTAGACTTTGTAAACGTGATCGGTGTCTGAGCATTGAAATAATGAGCCTGGATTTTGTCAAAGAATGTCTCGTTTTTTTTAATATTCATCAGAAAGTACCAAGACCTAATAGATACACATCTGTGTCCACTTTCTAAATAGTGCAGGATGGTTTTGAGTTATAAATAATATACGTTTTGTACATTTGTATTTCCTTTACATTTCCCCCTTAATTTTTCATTCTAATGAATGTTTCTTTTGGTCGTATGATTCTTTGCGTGTCTTCGTATTTTTTATCCAGCCTTTTTTTTATTGAACGTTCCTAATGCGGAAGGGTCTAGAGGTGTGATTCGGACATTACATATAGTGCTGTTTATATTTTGTATACCATATTATCTATATGCCACTTAATTTGTGCTTTATTAGGAAAATGTATATGTCATTATGGTTTACTAAACTGTATGTACTATCAACTACAAACATATATTTTTTTGCTGGCGCCTCTGTGAAATTTATTTGTACACGTTTGTGAGTTTGATTTGTTCAAGTAGGTTGTGTTGTATGTCTGTGGTTTATTTTAAACAGTTTGGCTGCTCCATCCCACATATTGTCACGTTGGCCAGTTATGTTTGTTTGTGTTGCTCATCCGATTTTGTCCAAATAACGGAAGTATAACAATTGTCGTACAAGTGGAAGGTTTAGCTAGCTATCAAACCAGGTTTAACCACCTATTTTCTTCGGAAAATGTCTGTACCAAATAAGTAATATGAGAGTTGTATTCCATTCGTGCCGTTGGTTCATTGTCGAGCTTTTTTGTCAGGTTTTATGGACTTTCCCGATTTTACTTCACCTTGGAGTTCGCTATTTGTGTTTAATCTTTTTTTTAATACGTAATTTCGATGAAATTTGCATACGAAGATGTCAATTTTAAACAGCATGTCGTGATTTGATCATTTGTTTATCGCTTTTTAAATACTGTCTATGTAGCTATTTACGAGTGATATTACTATTGAAATGTGATACAAAAAATATACATGTACTCTGATAAACTACATATTTGATAAATTTTACAGATTAAACAATTGCCAACGGATGAGAATTTTCCTGACGAACATATAGTGAGTATACAGATATAAATATACATGTATGTGTAGGATATGAGATCATTTAGAAGAAATCATTCAGATCTTTTGTTCAATGAATGTCTACATATACAGTACTTGCATCCGTAGATTTTACTCAGTTATCGATCAATCCAGTTACGAGGTTACTCTTTTGGTAACACTTGGTTACACTTTTAGTAACACTGGGTAACACTTTTACAACACTTTGTTACACTTAAATATGGGTTTCATTTGTTACTATGCTTACATTTACCTTAAATATTTTAGGTTCTTTTCCAAAACAGACTTTGTTCCAAAGTCCAGTTACAGGGTTACAATTCAACTTTTTTTTCGTGACGTCGCAATCTAGTTGAAGCTATCTAGGGCCCCGTTTGAATAATTTTTGTACATAAAACATGTTGAACCTGTGTTTTTGCCATCGTTAACACTTCAAACAAAACATTTTTTATTACTTAAATTTGTGTTATAAAAATTTGGATCATATAAACTATCAAAATGTTCACATCTAACGTTTTCCGTCATCGGCTCATTACTGATGACCTTTGTTTTTGCAACGCTTGACCCAAACAGGAAGTTGTCTTAGTCTCCGGATTGGACTAAACAGCGATAAGGTGTATGGGTACATGTGTAGCTACGACAATCTGATTAAAATTCAGGGCTATCGTAACACACGTCAAAGATCTAATACCAATGGCATACTTATCTCATTTTTGTTACCTTTCGTGACGTACACACTTACCGTTCACAGAATTTATATCGACGAAGCAGAATCGTCTTTGATAACGACCAACATGGTTAGACATAAACAAAATATGCTTTCCAGTGTCATCGTTTCAGAAATCCACGTATCAAACCACAACTTGCAACTTAAAGCATGCCTGTATACAGATTTACACACAGCATAAATAGTGCAAGGGTAATTAATGTATACTCAAATAATTCTGTAGGCGCTTGGGGTTATGGACACCCCTTTTATTATTTCCTCTATAATATTGGAACATGTGTTTATGCTATATAGAAATAAGAGTATATGGTTAGAATATATATACTGTTCAAAATGAGAGATTGTCTAATCAATTGTACACTTTACACTTGAAAATATTTGCCCTGCTGTTATGTTTAACTATTTGATCAATTGGGTGCAAATCTAAAAATCCTGAAATAACGTCTTTGTAAGAAATCCTAGGATTGCTTACATCAATTAATTTATCTGTTTCTGTCAAAATCTTGAAAATACTATATATTGTCAATGTATTATCATTTTAAATAGTAGAATGAAATAGCGCATCAAGTTACTCCTATATTGAAAAGACCACTAAAAGATGAGTCATGGAGAAACCGACATATATGGTATGGGTTTTTCTCATTGGTGAAGCCATACGGTTGCCTATAATTGCTTACATCCACTTCATTTGAACTTTGATGGATATTTGTCTCATTGGCAATAAAACCTCATCTCCTTATTTTTATATCCATGACAAAAAACGAAAAACAAAGAAAAAGACAACAACGGTCTGATGTGAGTTTATCCTGTATGTCAAAAAAAAAAAAAAAACGAAGAATACATTGGTCGAATTTTTGATGCAGATTTCCTGATTTGATGATACTAGTTTTTTTTCAAATGTATTCTCTATTGTCTGATTTAATTTATTGATCATTTGTTCATTTTACTTAAACAGCACAACCTAGATAAAACTATAAGGGAGTATACCAACGAAGGCAAGAGGATTATGACAGTCTGGCATGATGTAGATGACGTGAAGGCTGTGTATACCCCAATCTTTGGTAAACCACAGGTAATTCTTACACAATGCAAGCCAACTTTACACGCAGTAATGTCACAACTAAAGACGTGGTTGTATACAAAATATAAAGAGATGCGCTATTATCATACCTTACATATATTATAAACAATTATATGGATAACACATGATCTCATGGCATGGAATAATTCAGTTTATTTTCATTTAAATGCAAGGAAGGCCGAAATCAATAGAAATTTACACCGTTGTAAAACCTTTTGAGATACTTGCTTTATACATATATGATTTGTCTCCCACTAAAACGACGTCACACACGTTTGGATATGTGTGTTGCTGTCTCATTGACATATACCTGACATCTCACTAATAATATTCTATAGCAATCATAATTTTAGTTACTTTCCATTAACTATACAGGTTACATTTTTTAAATTGACACTCATTTAAAAAAAAAACCGCCATTTGTGTTCATTTAAAACATCAACGTAAATTTTGCGCATAAACGACCGGACTGATATGCTTCCTGAATGATATTGCCTCGAGATATATTTGATCATATATTGTATTTTTTGCGATTGCTGAATGATATTGCCATTGAACATTATCTTATCTTTCAACGAAAATTTGATATGATTATATAAATCATATTAAAAACAAATTCTTAAAGATTTTTATGATTAAACTTTTATTTTATGAATAGAAATATGGAAGGAATGTAATCATGTACATACCCATTGTAAGGTCCCTGACATGCTATAATGGCCTAAAATCTTTGCTGTTAACAGCATGCGACACACATGATAAAGTTTAATAATTCGATATTAGCAAAAACATATCTAGGTGTCCAGATCCACATCGAATGTATTTTCAGTTTGTATGAAATCACAAATGACTTTGCTGCACAGGAACAATTGAAACCAATAACTTACGTTTGTAATTTGTCAAACAAGCACCAATTTATAAAACAATACACAGAAAACTAAAGTTTGTTTAACTCGAACTTCTCAAAAAATCAACGGTGATCTCAGATGCTTCGGAATGGTAGGCAGATCCTGTTCCACTAATGGCACCAGTGAAATGTTGTTCATGGCAAAATCAATTAAAAGTCGCATTCGGTAATAACATAATCGAGATTAAAGGGATGGAATTGTGGCTATCCGCGGTCATTTGTGACACAGATATTACATTACGGTCAACCAAATTATAATTGGGACTGTAAAACTTTCAATGGGATGACTCAATAATACTAGTATTCGAATCAATATTTTTTTTAACATCGTCTCTAAATCACATAATACACTCGACGTATGCTTTTACTAAAAGAGAAACAAAAGATACCAAAGGAACATTTAAACTCATAACATGCATAACGCCGTGGCAAAAATCGAAAACATACCCAAAGAAAATGAACGGTTTACAAAACACATAATAGAAAACTAAAGACTGAGCAACACGAACCCACCAAACACTAGGGGTGTTCTCATATGATTCGGAAGGGTAAGCAAATCCTGCTCCACTAGTGGCACCCGTCATTTTGGTAGCAATACACAGTAAGAAAAAAAATTAAAATTGACACCCAAAATTTTTAAAACCCTCTTTCCCTTGCATTTTAACAAACAAGGCTTACTGTTTTGTCATGTATGTGCATATGTTTAGTAACAGCATCTTCCATAAATTTTAATTTCAAATAGTTAAAATGGTGACATATAATCTCTTTTTTGTTTAATCATGGCAACAATCTGCATTTATTTGATACAAAACATTGCAAAACGGGAGGTGGAAATGTCCCAAAAGTCTCCAATATTTGGTCCAAAGTCGAATTTTAATCCATTTGAGTGATAACTTTTTGAAACCATTGACATTTTTCTATCAAGAGGTCGAATAGAAATTGTATACATTTGCTTCATTTTCCCATTAAAATGAATTGAAAAGTTCGAGCGTAAAATATTTGTTGGAAAACACTACAAAACTTTCTGGACCTATAGGCGGTACGGATGTGAAAAAAACATACTGTCAAACAGAAAATGGCCTATTAAGCATGCATAAAACAATCTTGATGTTCATATTAACTACTTTGAAGGCTACAATATTCTTCAGCTATCTAAAAATCAACTTAACTTCACAATTACTTTCATATTTGAAAAATTCACAGGGCCAAAATGCGAAAACCAACTCCAAAATGTTTTGCTACCTTTCCTAATGTAAGTACAATTCCGGTGATAAGTCTAATTCAGTAGGTCACATTCGAGAAAAAGAGGACGGAATATTGTGGTTATGACACTGTCCGTCGTCAGCTGTGAAACAGATTTTCCATAACGGCCAACCAACTCATGATGACGTCTGTAAATTGTCGAATGGATGATATCAACGTCAATATATGGAAATCTTGGTCCAATAGCTTCCTTTTGAGGAGCAACCCTCTATCAGGGAAATCATGATAAGAAATGCAAGCTCTTGAATATGATATCAACTGGGAGATATATACGTCATATGCAGGCGCTGCTTACAAAATTATAAGCCTGGTACCTTAGATGACTTTTATTAGGTTGACCCATGGTTGTAACTTTCTTTTGTTAATAAGGGAAAAAGTGAGCAGTTAATCTAAAGACCAAGATTTTAATGACATCAACGGAGCATTCAAAACTCATATGCAAGTTATTAAATAATACATATATACAATTATTTTTACATATACTTGTGTGTTGTAGATTTGAAATAATTGACTTCTCTCTACATCTATCGGTCATGTTTTCATCTCGTCTATATGAAGTTATATCTTTTAATATGCCTATTATGCACCACTTCCCCTATATCTGTTGATTGTTGGTAGGTGAACTTCCACTTTTATATTGCATTATATTGAAATGAACATAACGTCATATTTTTTAGGACTGACAATTCTGAATACAATCCGATAATTTGTTTTTGTTGGACAAAGATACATACTTTGTCATGTAAACTTCAATAATATTCAAATTCAGATCACATGTCCAGGCTTCGCTCTTCTCTACAAGTAACCAAAGCGTATATACAGATTACGTATTTTCAACAGATTGTGTTTACTTATAAAACATATTTTTCTGCATATGGCAACCTGTGTTCTTTCCTCAGTTATGCTCAAATTTTCCGAAATTGCAGTGTAGTGATCAAAAGTTTTTCGTTATATCATCATGACAACAGCTGTACCCAAAAAGATATTCCAAACACGTTAACATCTTTAGAAAATACCATTCGTAGCAAAATTGTCTTTGGGTAAAGCTTTTTCTCATATCTAAATATGAATGACAAGATCGCAAAATGAGGCTATTATGGCAGTTTTTGATGTTTTGCATAAAACATGTTAAATGGGTGTTTTTATCTTTAATTGTATTAGGTAATTTGAAATTCAATAATGCAATTACTAATGCCTGACAGGCAGTCTTCTGAAGGATGCTTTGTTTTTGTTGATTAGTAATACCTTTTGGTTTTCGTATTCTAGGGGCCAAAATTAATGCCTTATCTTACCTTCTCCCGTATTTTTTTAAGAAATACGATTAACTTATCTTTCATCTGTAATTCAATCTCGGAGAACATAATTTATGTTTTAGTTGCTATTGTCTTTGAACTAGTGTCATTGACTACAAGTAATCTTAGATCGGTACTTTACGTAGGTTGCTTTTAGTGCTTCGTGCCTATCTTGTGAGTCAAGACAATTCCAATTGAATTTTACAGTTTGTTCTTATTTTGTGCTGTTACATTATTGTCCAAGGTAAGGGAAAAGTAAATCTCACCACTACTAAAGAAGTAAACATCAATGCAGAATTAAAGAAGTTAAGAACGATTATAATCATGATTTGATATAAGACTGTAAAGATGGACAATAGGTTTTTTTTTAAATTGAGAATAGTGGTCTTTATACAACCAAAATTTTAATTAAGTTAAGTTGATGCTACATATCAAACATAGTCATTGTTACTATCATGGATTTTAAACATGAAAACATACGATAAAGGCTGAAAGTCAACATTTATGCAACAAATAAATGATCTGTTACTATAAATTACATCATAGAAATAATGTTTAATTCTACAGACAGAAATGTTTTTTGGTTTTTTTTTTTGGTTTTTTTTTGGGTGGGTTTCGTGAATCTCAATCTTTAATTTTCTATTCAACTTTGTTATTATTTTAAGGCTTTTCATCGTTGTGTTTTGCTAAATTGGACCAATGGTACCAGTAAGCAATTCCCATCACTTGCCGTACGTTGTCGTCCGTTGTCGAGTGCGTGGTAACCTTTTTGTACAATCTTTTCCTCTATTAACAACAGACCCATTTTACTAAACTCGAAATGACTGATACGTATAACTTCTTTTAATAAGTTTGCGTTTTTTTTTCTTGTCAATCAACCAACGTGATCGCCATTACTTTAATTAAAAAATTAGGGCAAAGTGCATTAATAGTCTTATATCTTGAAGACTGTAATTATTAAGAAGTTTGATAGGGCAGAATTGCTCATAATGCCATGATCTTGTTAATTATAAAACAATGCAAAAAGATTTTGTCAGGTTTGATGGATTATCCTTAGCGTTCGGTATGTTTGTGTTAATATTATTTTCTTTCTGTTTACAGGGTGCAGATAAATTCAACGATGACTTAGCTTTTGGACGACAGAGACTTGCCAGTTTGAATTCTTCACTTATCAGCCTGTGTACAACAATACCAGAAAAGTAAACATTTTGAGTTCAAAAATCACTAGAAAAGTGATACTTGAGATTGACAACTTCAATAAAGGGTCATTGCATTTATTGAAATAGCATACAGCTCTCGTACTTACCTATATATCCTTTCTGCTATATTTTTTTTTCACATTTGCCAAATATTTTCAATTATCGTTCTAAGGGTTGGAAAAACATATCTCAAAACCAAGCAAAAAAGGTCGATGTTCTCAAATTATATCTTCTCTTGTCCTATAATCTCTTAAACTGTAAAAGATAAATACAAAAAGAATGAAAATATTGAGGTTAATGAGATACATATTTAGTTCATTTGAACCAAAAATAGATCAAACGATGTCTTATGGGAGTTATTGGAAAATAGAAAATTTGTCTTGATTTTCTTTCACACTGGTTCAAGGTCATACAGCATTTTGCATGTTGTCAGCAGACATGTGAAAAAGATCACGTCGAAAATGTTCTTATTAAAATCAACAGTAGTTGATTTTTTAACAGAAACGTCCCTATCAATCACCTTTCTAAATCAATGAAAAATTATCTACTTTTTTTGTATTTTTTTTTTATTTTTCATGATGAAACATGTGAAATTACATACTGCAGTATTAGACACAAATCATAGAAAATTAAGTAACACTTGTAAGATCAATCAAGTCATAATGATATAATAAGATATAAATATTACAATTGATTTTTTTTTTATTAAAAGCTGCTTCTAACAATTGCCACTTCTGATCCATTTTTACTTCTTGCGCAGGGGTTAAGAAACATACAGAGTATTTTTCTATATTAATCCAATATTTTAAATATTTTTTTTTAAATGTATGACACCAAAAGTGACATTGTGTTACTTGAAAGAAGGTGATGTCAATAAAAACAACATATAATCTTTTTTGTTTTTGTTCAACTGGTCTAAAGGAGCTATTGCCATCACCAGGCATCCGTCGTCGTCCGTTGTCGTCATTAACTTTTTCTAAGATCTTCATCTCCGAAACTACCAAACCAATTTCAACAAAACATGGGGTGACATATGGTATCTAAAATAAAGTTTGTGCTTTCTATTCCGGTCAGTCAACACACATGGTCGCCATGGCTTGAAATAAAACATAGGAGTAAAATGCAGTTTTTGGGTTAATTATCAAAACTGAAGCAGTTAGAGCATGTCTGACATGGGTAAAAAAGATCTGTAGGTCAATATCAATAAGCGTAATTTTTTTTAATATTAAGGTTTTTTCATACACTTTGATAGAAATTTTGTATGGCAAAAATGTTCAGCATGGTATGATCTACAAATAAGGCAACATGACTTCAATTTTCAATGTAATCCTTATATGAATAATTGCCCTCGAGCCGAAGGACAATATTTTTCATCTTTTAAAATTTTTGCAGAAACTATTAAAGATCGAGAGAAACCTCAAACAGCAAAATGTTCAGTAAAGTAAATCCTACAAATAAGTCAAATATGACCGAAGTCATCAATCTATCTCCTCTGGGAGTTATTGCCCTTGAAAGATGATTTTAAGTATTTGTTTTTTGTTTTTTGCAAACTGAATCAATGTAAATGTTATAACAACAAAAATTGACACTATAATAAGCCGATTTTCTTCATAAGGAAGCGTACATTTTTTAAACACTTCTATGAAATCTATCATACGACTGTTTAAACTATAATTTACTAATTATCTCTTGTTTAATTAGTTTTTTCAAATATGCAAACCATATTTGTGAACTCAAAATGGGAAAAGCTATATTTTAGCACTCCAATGATTATCTTGACACCATGAGTACCTACTTGTAACCTGTATTTCATAGGCAAATTCCTTTAGAATAGGTCAATGGTAAGATATTTTGGGATATGAGAATATTGAGGTATTGAAAAAAACAGAAGTAACACTATTTTATCGCCAAACAGCTAATATATCTAACAATTTTATTATTTTTTATTAAGGAAATGCTAGCGTTTTCTATTTATCTCGCATATTTTATGAACACAAATTTGACCTTTATCTCGATTTTGAATTTAGTCAAATATGAATTATAAACACATGCAAATATGAAGGTGGATTGATATATAATTGTTTTTTAAACATCTTTATATAGATTTAACATTAGGAGGACACACTTCAATCTTAGAATGTAAGCGAACTATTCCCATGAAGTTCGAAAAGTATGCAATATATTATAATTATATCAAACTCGATTTTCAACACTTACTGGTAGTTTTAATATTCAACATCTAAACAGGTTTGGAGTGACGGAAGAATTGATCAAACCATTTTTAGAAGGTATGACTATGAGCAAAGCCATTGAAGAAAATAAGTTATTCATTATTGACTTGGAAATTTTGGAAGGATGTCCTGCAAAGACAGAAACACACGTTGTAAGTGATTGTGATATATTTATATTCCTATTAAATAGATGAAATGCCAATTCGGTGATGGCCTTTATACGTTTGCCCTGAGGCCGTTGATTTCGGTTGGCCATTTTCTTATATCATTTGTAAATTTTAAATGTAGAGAATAGTTAAGGGGAATCTGTTCACGATCGGGGATTGACATTCATTACCTTGACAAAAGTGAATTTTGTTTACCTTGGTGCGAAGGACACAACTCAGTACAAAAACAGTTTTCGAGCTTTTAAAATGTATCATATAGCCAGTTATGGAAGGTTTCTTCATAGTGTTTGTCCTGTTATTTCTCGCAAACGACGAAATTATTGTATAGTCTAGCAGTTATGTCCAATATATTGGCATAGTGGATCACTTTCTGGTAAAAGCATGAAATTTAGCACATTCTTAGTTATGATGCTAACAAGCATTTTTGGATATGAAGTCACGAAAGAAATCCAATATGACTGCCACATTAAAGATGGCCAACATAACGTACTGATTGGAAATACAACATCATATGCATGATGATGTCTGCCAATTACACGAGTTTTGTACATATTCAAGTATTGTATCAAATGAAAGTCCATATTAAAAGCTGTCTTGAGATAATCAGGTTTTCAGCTTTTGTATTCTTACAATTACAATGTATGAACCTACCCCATGAAAAATCTACAAATTTGCTAAAACAAACGTGTATTCTTTCTATCCAAATATATGAAATATAAACAATATTTTTACAAGTTTTATGTGTTCTGATAGCTATTATAAAACCTAATACATTTGGCGACATTTGACCTTTTTTGCAATTGTTCACCGAAATATTATTTTGATCATTAACTTATAATTTGATGGTAATCATTTTATAGATCACTATTAAAGATTTCTAATAACAAAAAAAAACCAGGTATTAACAAAACCTTAAAACTTTGAAAATATTATCCCCTTCTCAACATATTTCAACTAAAACCTATGAATTTCAAACACTGAGCATCTTTATTCATTTAACTGATTAATAGTCTGGTATAAATCAGTTGTATTAATATACAACAAATTCTTCATGTGTGTATTCAAAAAGACGTGGCCTTCGTGTAATGCAAAAATTTATTGTACATCTGGTGAACCCCAGATATCTATCAATTCCCTGTGCAAAATATTATGGCAATGGAAAATATAATTCCGACTCCTTGCAAATTTAACAAAAACACACAAATTTGATAAATAAAGGGTACAAATCACATATCTAGACAATTTTTGGTTCAAATAACTTGAATTAAAATGAAACACATGCATCACTAATACTCAAGTTTATCCAAATCTATTTTTGTTGCAACAAATTTAGAAAAACAGACAATTTTTGATTTTTAAGATTTTTTGTCAAGTTTTGTCATTAAGTCCGTATGAACTAAGAATGCTTATGTTAATCCCATGACTAATACATTTCTCCAGTGAAAATATGTATTAAGGGTCTATGAGATTAAGTTTTATGTCAAACAATATCTTATCAAAAAGGAAAACATTACCCCTACCCATTGCAAATTTAAGGTAAAATGTAAATATTTTACGGAGAATGGCTTAAGATCATAAAATTTAGTATCAATCATTTTTAAATTTATTTCACTTATTTTCAAAGCCTCGAAGACTTCCAAAGCCTTTTCTTAAACGACAGAAAAATATATAAACCCCGGACAATTTCAGATTTAAAAAAAATTCTAAATATAACTGTTGTCCATAGTTTATGCCAATTTTTATTAAGTTATACTTCGGTTGAAGAATCAATGTTTTCATCTGTGAATAATTACAATTTCTAGTTGAAAATTTTTGGAGATGGGGGTAAAATTCATTAATATTTATAATATCTATCCTATCTAAACTACCAATGTGTGGTGTTTATATGAAAGCTTAAACATTATTTCCTGAATTGATATCAAACGAACTGCTCCCTTAGACTGTTAGATTGGATATCAGAGGCAAAAGAAGGTGAAATCTTGGCAAATATTGAAATATAAAAATTTATTTACAATTTCCACATCTTGATTAATCTGACCATAAATAGTGTTTCAAATCTAAAAATATCATCATATATTTCCAATGCCTCAAAATATATTAGAATACATCAACTTATCGATTGTTTAATATTATTCTTTTGGTGTTTATTAACAACTAAAAGAACTTTTTTTTTGCATTTTTTTATATTAAAATTGAGAATTGAAATGGGGAATGTGTCAAAGAGACAACAACCCGACCAAAGAGCAGACAACAGCCGAAGGCCACCAATGGGTCTTCAATGCAGTGAGAAACTCCCGCACCCGGAGGCGTTCTTCAGCTGGCCCCTAAACAAATATGTATACTTGTTCAGTGATAATGGACGCCATACTAAACTCCCAATTATACACAAGAAACTAAAATTAAAAATGATACAAGACTAACAAAGGCCAGAGGCTCCTGACTTGGGACAGGCGCAAAAATGCGGCGGGGTTAAACATGTTTTTTGAGATCTCAACCCTCCCCCTATACCTCTAGCCAATGTAGAAAAAACAAACGCACAACAGTACGCACAGTAAAACTCAGTTTAAGAGAAGTCCGAGTCCGATGTCAGAATAGGAAACAAAAGAAAATAAACAAAATGACAATAATACATAAATAACAACAGACTACTAGCAGTTACTGACATGCCAGCTCCAGACCTCAATTAAACTGATTGAAAGATTATGTCTTCATCATATGAATATCAGGCACAATCCCTCCTGTTAGGGGTTTAGTATTATACCATCATCAATTATATGAGAAGAACATCACCCGTGTCATGCCAACAACTGGTTTCAGAATAAATATGTTTAATTCCGATGCAAAGACCCTATAAGTGAATCAATATTAAAGCCAAAATATGCAATCTTTAATGACCTGACAACAGTATCGTAACTATATCCCTTCTTAATAAGTCTGTTTAAAGGTTTTGTTAGCTTTTGAGGTGGATACTGACATTTTTGTGCTTTGTAAAGAATATTACCATAAAAGATTGGATGTGAAATACCCGAACGTTTAAGATGTCTGCATGTTGAGTTATATTTACGAATGATGTCCTTATACCGACGATAAAATTTAGTAAATGTTTTGACTAGTTTATGATATCGAAAACCCTGGTGTAATAATTTTTCAGTAATACATAAATTTCTCTCGCTAAAAATCTAATACGTTGTTACATACACGAGCGAATCGTACAAGTTGAGATATATAAACACCATAAGATGGTGACAAGGGAACGTCACCATCTAAAAATGGATAATTAACGATAGGAAATGAAAAATCATCTCTTTTATCATAAATGTTTGTATTAAGCTTCCCGTTAATGATATAGATATCAAGATTTAGGAAAGGACAGTGGTCATTGTTAGTATTTGTTTTATTTAAAGTAAGTTCAACAGGATAAATTTCTTTAGTATACATACTGAAGTCGTCATTATTGAGAGCCAATATATCATCCAAATATCTAAAAGTATTGTTAATTTTTTGTATTACATGTTGTTTCGATGGGTCTTTGCTGATTTTAGTCATTAACTCATAACAATACAAAAACAGGTCCGCAATAAGTGGTGCACAGTTAGTCCCCATCGGAATTCCGATAACTTGACGATATACGGAATCTTCAAAGCGAACAAAAATGTTATCAAGTAAACATTCAAGGGCAGATACAGTATCAAAGCAGGTCCAATTGACATAGTTCTTTTGTTTGTATTGTTCATCGAGTATGGGCATTTATTTAAATTGAGAAGAACTGTGGAAAAAAAAGTGATATTTTTTAGAAAGCTAATACTATGGACTTTCATTTGATACCATATTTGAATTTGAACTGAAGTTAAATCATGTTCACTGTATGGTGTTGTATTTCCAGTACCTTATTTCTGCCATCTTTAATGTGGCGACCATATTATATATTTTGCGTTGCTCCATATCTAAAAAAAGATCTCTAGTAACTAACCTGTGCAAAGTTTACAAATTATGTTTTTACCATAAAGTGATCAAATGTTCTGATATCCGCTGGACTAATAGGTGAAATAACCGAAACTAATAAAGATAGATATAAAAGTATTTTACGCAAATATTGCGTTATTCAATGAAGATATGGTACATCTGATTCAGCGCAATTTGATGACATTGTATAGGAGTTATTGTCCATGAAATGTTTGCATTTAAGGTTTTAAAAGTAACTCATAAACCATAAGTGATAGAGACCTGGAGTCTTTTGATTTGAGGGCCCGGGTCCATCAAAATAAAAAGGAGGTCAATGCCAAAGGTCAATGTTATGATCTTATTTTTGATCATCGCTACTTCTAAGACATCGTTATATATATCGACAAAAGATTTTCATAAAATTGACAGTTGCAACATGTTTTAACCAGAAATTATTTGACTGAAGGAGTACAGTAACATTTAATTGGAGTTTTATTAACTGGAATGTCTACGATAAGATGTATGAGGATATAACTCATTTATCTTACGCCGTAGACACCTAGATTCTTCGGATATGAGACCCTTCCTTTTTTATGTCAAAGGTAAATTTGACGTTCTAGATTTAGACCTTTGCCTTCATATTTGTTCATGCCTAAGCCATCGGTTTTTTACATTAGGTTTAAAGACATGACTTAGAAAGGTCAACCATAAGTGTAAACCGGAAGTTACAATATGTTGACCTAGTTTCATTTAAAAGTACTTAGCTAGAACCATACATTTTTGGAACCAGTGAGAAGTAACCTATCATATAATACCGGATGTGTCATATTTCAAACCGGAAGTAGTAACATGTCTTACTTGCTTTAAACGAAAGTTTATAGAAACCATATATTTTTGGATTCAGCGTAAAAAAATCTTTTTACTGACACTAGAAACTGGAAATTAGATATACAGACAAAAGTTAATATTTTTCAATCAAATTATTTGCATTTTGGGTAGAAAGACCTCAAATTGTTCAGTGAACAACTGGTTTTCAATTCTATTACTTCTTTCCAGAATAAGATACGTCTGCGTCAGTGTTTCAAAAGAGTAAGCTTAACAGTGATTTATTTCGTTCTTCTTTTTGGGTTAAGAAGATATTAAAGTTACCACATATGTAACATGCAAATTGTCTATAGTAAAGTATGTATTTTACTATTGATTTACAGTTTTTTTCTGTTTTGCTTATTCGTGATGTATAAATCTTTGCAGATAACTTGTCCTTTTGCTCTGTTTTATTTCAACAATGACCACCAACTTAAGCCGATAGCCATTCAGTTATTTCAACAGAAAGGACCGGATAATCCAGTAAGTGAATTACCAGTAGTATACTAATACTTCTTTATCTTTTATATATCATGAGCTTTTGTATGCATAACCAAATTATGGCATGATACTTCGAAATATACTGATGCTAGACTGCAGAGAAAAGCCTGACAAATGAGAGATTGTTAGGAATATATTCTTCAAAATATGCATATTTTTTTTTTGTGAACTGCTTTTAAAGTATAGCCATCTTTCCTATTTGTAGCTAGACATTTATGTTGAAATAGATATACAAATGCTATGTGACAAAAATGCCTTTAAGATATTAAAAGATAGAAAATCACACTAAGCTATCATTCTTAAACTTGAATTTACGCCTTATAAAACATGCCATGTCACTAGATATTAATCACACCAATCCAATTGGGCTTCAAATAAAGGATGCCATAGATACGTACAAGTCTGTTTCATATCCTTTCTAACATTGAGAGTTTGGTGTGAACTTTTAATTTCAAAACTTTCAACTACAAGGTGATTACTAAATAAGGTGTTCTTAATTGTACTCTTGATTGAACATTATTGATTGCTTGATTTTTGTTTGCATGTTTAAACTATTAGCAATAAATACACTAATAAGATTTGAAAGAGCATGTCGAAATAGTTGAAGCGAGTGAAATTTATACTACCACTAGCAATTAAAGTATGTTTTGGCACGGAACAGATGACAATAGTAGAGCAGAAACTTTCAACCATTCATTAGCACCTATATTATCGCATTAGTTTTGGTAGAGTTCGTGTTGCTTATTCCTGAGTTATGTGCAGTTGTGTATGGACTGGTTTTGTCATTTCGTATTTGTCTCTATCTTAAGAATTTTCTGTTCTTCTTCAAATTATTATTGCCACGTTGAGATAGCAGCAAGCAATCAAACAGTCAACAAATGATTTCGTTTGTCTCAGTGCTAAATTCCCCATTTTCAAAGGCTGAAAATTTAAGGGAAAAACATTGACGGGTAAAATAATCACTAGTGATGTATTGTTTTCTCTCAATTTTTAGCAAAGCTAATTCCCTTTATCATTTGTTTAAACGAGAGGTGAAAATTACAAAAGGGAGATTCCAATTCATAAGTCGAAAATACACTCAAATCGTACTTTCGTGTTAATTTGACCTGTTGACACAATTTGTAATGCATTTTTGTTATTCAATGTTTACTTATTTGGTGTTATATCTCGTCTCACTATTTTTAATATGTACCAACTGTAATAAGTATGTAGTATGACGATAAATTTTCACTTCTGTACTCGTACTGTAAACAACAAATTTATTTTTTTTGAAAAAATATTTCCGTACTCCTTACAACAAAATTATTAAAATTTACCTGTGAACGTTATTTTATTTAACGCCATTTTGTACCAGGTTAGAGTTGTCGTTTTGACATTGTTCCACGACTTTTTTTTATTAATATTGTATTTATATTGTGTCATAGATCAAACTTATTCGTTCAGTGTATGTTTACCTGTTTTTGTTTATATGTCTTTTTGATCGAGTTAAGCCTTTTCAATTGATATTTTATAGTGTGTATTTTTATGTTGTAATGTTACACTACTGTTTCATGTTAGGGTGAAGGTTTGCGCCTGTTAAAACGTTTAAACCTGCTGCATTTGTATGCACCTGTTCTAAGTCTTGAGCCTGTTGTTCAGTGGTTGTCGTTTGTTGATGTGGTTCATAAGTGTTTCTTGTTTTTATATAGATAAGACAGTTGGTTTTCCTGTTTGAATACTTTTACACTAGTTACACTTTTTAGAGTCCTTTATAGCTAGCTGTTCTGTGTGAGCCAAGGCTCCGTGTTGAAGGCCATACTTTGACCTATAATTGTTTACTTTTTACACATTGTGACTTTGATGGAGAGTTGTCTTATTGGCACTCATAATACATTTTCTTATTTATATTGACAACGCCATTGCAAAAACGAAAAAAATGACCTAAAACAAAAATATACAAAACACAACACAGAAAACTAAAAACTGACCAACACGATCCAACCAAAAACTGGGGTATTCTCAGGTTCGCCGGAAGGGTAAGCAGTTACTGATCTACAAGTGGCACCCGTGGTATTGTTCATGTAAGTACAAACCCTTTGATAAGTCTTATATACTTTTGATATTTTATTCTTGAAAAATGAATGTCTTCAATTTCAGATTATCTTCGAAACATAAAAGTTTCATGGCACAGTTGTTAAATGCTAGATGTATGTTATCAAAGATGTTCCAAAAATTAATGTCTTATATTATAAAAAAGATTGTTTTCTCACTTGAGGCTCGTATGTTTCTTAACATAATTTCTATTATTATAAGAATTAAAATAACAAAAAAACCGATCTCCAAAGGAAATTCAAAACGGAAAGTCCTTTATGAAATGGCAAAATCAAAAGCTCAAACACATCTAACGAATGGAAAACAACTGTCATAAGACAGAAATGCCTTGGTTTACGTTCGTAGATTATTTCAAATAAATACGATAATATTTTTAGATTTTTCTTTTCTTTTTATCAGGTCTTCTTACCATCAGATCCACCATACACGTGGTTACTTGCAAAGATGTGGTACAACTTGGCTGATGCTACATACCACCAAGCTCTTACTCATTTGAGTACGTAAAGAAGTAACAGAATGTACAAAAAATGAAGGAGAAAAATACACGTTATATAACTTCATGCGTCAGAAGCGCTTATTTGGATTTACCTTCAGCAGGAACGCTCAAAGCCAAATATTTAAAAGCTGAGGATTATAAGAACCGAAACAGTTGAAGAGCTGTATGACAAAAAATACCTTAAAATAGCCAAATCCGTCTAAGTTCAACTTTGCCTGAGGGGGTTGAAACCTTATTTTCAAACGGCATGAACTAAATATTTAACTTAGGTCTAATGCAATATATTTATTACTAAGATATTGCACATAGGATATGATTGCCCGAAAGACTTATTTACTGTAACCAAACTCCAGATTTTGTTCATGTAAAATTGCAGGATGTAAATTGTATACAAAGCACTAGTCGTGCTAGAGTTTTTTTTAAAATAGATGCAGTTATGCTAGACATTTAAGATTTGATGACAAAACATCAGTCGACCACTTATCCTGAAGGTGTAGAACCATCTATTCCTGCTCGGTCACGAAGAACAGATAAGAGAGTAGTAAATATTTCAAACAAACCTACGCATAACTTCAACTTACAAAATATATGAAATATTTGGGTCATTTTGGTATTTTAGTGTCTTTTTTTATTGTGGGGGATGTATAAGTACCTTACCACGTTCGGTCTGTACTTTTGTTAGATTTATTTCTGCTTTGTATCTATCTGATGAGTTAAGTCATTTTCAACTGGTTTCAATAGTTTGTTCTTATGGCGCCTTCAAACTAGTTTAACCCCGCCACATTCAGAATGTGCCTGTCCCAAGTCAGGAGGTTGTAATTCGGTGGTTGTCGTTTGTAGCTGTATATCATATTTGTTTTTCGTTCATTATTTTGTACTTAAATCAGGCCGTTAGTTTTCTCGTTTCAATTGTTTTAGATTTCTCATTTTGGTGCCTTTTATAGCTGACTATGCGGTATGGCTTTTGCTTATAATTGAAAACCGTACCATTACCTATAGTTTTTAACTTCCATGTCATTCGCTCTCTGGTTGAGAGTTGTCTCGTTTATAATTATACCACATCTACTTTTTTTTATATAAAGGACATGGAATCACAGTTTTTTATGCATGTTCTGAATGATAATAAAACATGTACAAAACTGAAATAGAAAGGCATTTTTTGTCTGTTTTTCAGATCAAAAATATACCTATTTTTGCACTTCCGAATCTACGGTAACCAGGGCCTTCATATTTTCAATTACTTGTCTGGTGATATTTTTAAGCACAAGTCAGGCAAAGGTACTGTTTTGACATGAAATGACTGTCACTTTATTCAAACGTAAAACGGCTATGAATTATGAAAATTAAAGAATTTTAATAGAACACAGTGTTCTCCATTTTTCACTAAGGTAAGGTGGGTGTTGTGAAAAAATTACTTGCAACCGGGTGATTTTTTTGTGTTTTAACATTTCCAACCGGGTTTTTTTTACTGTTGGGGGGGGGGGGGGGGGGGGGTCATAAAAAGAAGGATTAGTATTGTATACACATTTAATAAAATTGAACTGTTCTTCTGCTATCACTGATAGCCATTCATTTGACAAATTAGTTTTGCGGATCTCGGATATGGCTTTTGTAGGACTCCCTCCTCTTGCATATGCATAGCTTATCGATCCTAGTTTCTGTCCTGTTCCTCGCTTTAGTGCTGTATTTTTAGAACACAAAGCAGTAATATCCTCCTTCTGTGGCGATTAGCCATTTAAAGTCCTGTTTATATTTATCAAAGAAGGGTAACCTCTCAATGTAATGACTATCTCTTTTATGAGGGGTACATTTAACGAGATACAAATGAGCACATATTTATTTATTTTACAGAAAATTTGCCCAAAGAACTATACATCTATTTGTTATTATATGGTCAAAACATGTCCAAAAATGTTTTAATATTCCTGGACTTATTTCTTCGTTATCATTAAAAATAATGGGACCTTCTTTTAGAAAAGTTGGTCTGAATATAACGATTTTTTCCCCTTTTGAGTTAAAAAATCTAAGTTTTTCTCTTTTCTTTTCTCCAACAGAATTAACATAGCCTCTTGACAGAGAGACAGTCCCACGTTTAAGGGATATCACTCATTTGGGGGATAGACGTATTTAAACTTGTATGCAAATTTAAAATCATACAGGTTCCCGTAAACTTTTCCAACCTGTTTATCTTCGCGATCGCTTCTGTGCCTTTTCCGTTGTTTTGATACTTTTTATTCCATTTCAACAATTTCAATACAACTATCCGTTTTAGTTGACTTATTTGACCTAGAATTTTCCTTATTACCAACGTCATCTGCCTGTCTCTTCCCCCGATTAATAAAAGAAAACATTGAAATTTGATGATCCGCCATTTTTGTCAATGAAAAACCTTGATTTATTTAGAAAAAATGTAAGGTCTTGTCTTTTCTTAAATGCAACATGTCTATGATAGACATCCACAGCTAAAACAATCGTTACATGTTTATCTAACATGTTAATGTTATTATTATTGCAAATTCTCAAAACTTTAAGAATCATTTTTGTTACTGACGACAATCTTTCAACCAAGCAAGACATGCACATAAAATTATTATTGTGATATTTGATTTTAGATTTTACCCATCTCATGATGGAAGGAATATGTGTTGCAACAAACAGACAACTGTCGCCATCGCATCCTATGTTTATACTACTGCATCCGCATTTCAAATATATTATGGCTGTAAACGCGTATGTAACTTAACATTTTATTATCAAATAAAGCATGTAGTTTAGATCTTTCACAATTTCAAATCTTTAAATCAATTGATCAAAGTAGAAAATTAACTTGATTCTTTGTTTTAAATGTGTTTTTATTTGTATTTTTTATTTTGAATCTATTGAACCAAACACCAAACACAAATAACTGATAAAAAAAATTAGCAATGCAACGTTAAAAGAAGATGTCAAAAATGTTCTAATATCTTGAATAGTCTTAAACACTGTAGACGGTTTTGACATATTACTTCGAAAATAAGAAATGCATATATATTATCCAGGATAGGTCGTAATATTCTGGTCAGCAAGGGAGGTTACTTTGACAAAACATCAAATGGTGGAATTAACGCTGTATTCCACTTAATAAAAAAGAGGTGAGTACAAGCAATATTACTACTGACGAGTTTTATTGAAAAAAAAATGAAAAAATGAAAGAAATAGTCTGTTGAAACTGAATATATATCCACTGTATCTACATAACAGGAAAGGTAGTCATACACGTACCTGTCTGGAGTATCAAATTATAAATTTGGTATCTTTGATCCGTTTCTACAACCACTAGGTAGATGCCAAAGATAATGAACGTTGCGTCCATATGGGTTTCTCTGGCCAAATATATGGTCACTAAGTAACCATTTACATGGTCTGTTGCTAACATCTGTGGACTAAACACATGGTCTTTAAGTAACATCTATTGACCAAATACATGGTCCAACATTTCCCTACCAAATACATGTTTGTAAGTAGCATCTATGGAGCAAATACATAATCTACATAAAATGTATATATCTAAAAACCATATTTGTTTTGATGAATATATGATCTACCTTAAAGGATAAAAGACATGGACTACCTAACAATATAACATAAAAATGTTCCTCGTTTTAAGCTTTCATCACACAGATCATCTCGTCCTATTTGCCAAATTACCACTGAGGGCTGAAACTGTATAGGAATTGGGCTTTTAAATCTCAGGCTGCGTTGTTTTGCAATGTGTGCCTCCACCAAATCCATTACAAATCGCACTACAATGCCCTACATTAAATCCAGGTTGTAACATTAGGTCATTTGTATAGCTATGTCCTAGTATCAACACCTTAGGCAAAATGTCAATACGTAAAGATGGCGAGAACGAAGAAATGAAAACAACTTCCCATATAGATTGTATAAATTCCAACTTCCGACAGTTTCTGCAATGTTATAGTTTTAACGCAAATAAAGTTTAAAAAAGTGTAAATAACAATCGTAAACGCTGTTGTTGAATACACTACTATATAACATTTCTTTAATGTGTGCGATATATTTACATATTCGAAGTCAATGTTCGTGTACATATATATTCAACACGGCGAATGAGGTCCAACTCATCATCAGTATTTCGTCAGTTCAAAAGAAAAATGCACAAACAAATGCACAAACAAAAATAGCTTGGTGTCGTTTTTATATATATCCAAAAAAGTTCAAATAACTAATAATAAGTTTATAAAATCCAAAATTAAAAACTTGTTTACAAGTTATTGATCTGTATATCAACAAGAATGTGCCATAATAAGATACATTGTGTAGAAACTGACCGAAGGTCACCAAACCAAGAGATCGTAATGCAGGGGTTTCCCAAAGAGGTTACAAAAATGTAAATTTCGAAACAAATTAATGGTTTCTGTTGACTGCTTAAAATTAATTATTCCAAAAACTTGCCTTTATTTTTGTTCACTTATGCTACCAGTATATAATGCTAATTATCTTCTTTGGATCATCAGGTTTCCTATTTTTACAATTTCCTATTTTAGCATGGATTTTTGGAGCTTGGAAGACTATGGGACATTACCAGCTGATTTAAAAAGACGAGGGGTACGTTTAAATTAAGAAAATTAGATTGCATCCGATTATAATCCCCAGCTGAAAACACAGACTAAACTATGCCCAGAAGAAAAAAAGATGCAAATATGAAAACACTTTCTAAAATTTACAAAACTAGATAGAACTGTAAAAGCTTTGGAAGTGGGAATACTTCCTACTACAGTGAATATGTTGTGTACAAGTTATCATTTTGTACATATATAATTTGTACAAAAATATTGTACAAATTATAGTTTTCATTTTGACTTTGTACAAATTGTAATTTGTACAAAAAGTGCTTGTACAAATTACAATTCGGACAAAATTTGACTAAAATTCACTTCAAATTTGAACAATAATTTATAGTATGGATTTTGTTATAAAAACAGCATTGATACACACTATAAAAAATTTTATTCAATGACCACACAATAAACCTTATTTACAAAATACCAAAAATAGTTCTATATCAATTTGTTGAGCATGTGAATGATTTGTGGCATTGGGAATTGCACAATATCGTTTGGTTTTTTATTTACATTAAGAAGTGCTGCACCCCTTTGCATTTACATGAAAGAAACCGCTGATCACCAGTTTTTGAATGCATTTTAACTGCTTTACGTAGCGTAAGTTGAAACTCAGGAATCGTTACTGCGAATAAAGATGTGTTTTTAACAGCTTCAATTTGATTTATCGACAAATGTCCTGCCGTATAGCGGGTTTTTTTCGCGGGTGTAAAATTTCGCGATTTAGGGACAAGAAAGTATACGAGAAATTTTGGCGGTTTTTATTTTGGCGGATTCTTCAATTCTAATTAAATATTTTAGCGGATACTGAAATAGGTGCAGTTAAAAAGCTGTAAAAATTGACAAACAAGTGTCTATATTTATGGTCAAATGATTGTTTTACCTGCAGAACGTCTTATTTATTGATTACGTTTGGACACAGTTAAAGTATAGAAAACCAGTACTTAGATATCTGTCAAAGGCGTACAAACTCCTTGTAAATGTTACGGTTGATTTGTTACGAAATTGACGGAACCTTTGATGAACTAATTAGTTGATAAAATTATCAAGAGTGACTTGCAACTGTTATATAATTTGACACTAATTAATAAGGATAAAATACAGGGCAGAGTACCTATACTCTTATATCATTTGACACCAATAAACTTATTAACACCTGACAGCCATATTATATTTTTATTAAATATATGTGAATAATACCCTTTGGCATTTATGATGTTCAAATTATCATAAACTGTTATTGACCTGTCGACCTGGAAAAAACAGATCGTTTACAAAACGATTTAGTTTTTAGAAAGTACCGACGTATGCGTAAATTTTCGTGGAATTTATTTCGCAATTTTCCTTTACCCGCCAAAATAAGCGAAAATAATCCGCTATACGCTATTAAAATTCCTACAGTTGTTCCAATGCGGTACCCAAATTCTCCAGATTAATTAATTTCACCTAGGATATTTCGAGGATCAGTTGGGGCACGATCATACTGAGGAATTGGTATAATGACATTATCCCCCACAGCAAGTTCAGTGTCATCCTGATTGTCACTCGGGCAAATTTCTATTATACTATCAGAATTGTCACTGGGGCCAATTTCTATTATACTATCAGAATAGTCAATGGGGCCAATTTTTATTATTCTATCAGAATTGTCACTGAGGCCAATTTACAAAATACATACTAAAAATTATTGTACAAGTTATAAGTGAACTTTAGTCAAATTTTGTACGAATTGTAATTTGTACAAGCACTTTTGTACAAATTACAATTTGTACATATTCAAAATACAAATTACAATTTATACAAAATGATAACTTGTACACAACATATACATGTACAAGGGGTGTTAAACTGATTCCAATGTCATTATATAAAGTAGTTATTTATTTGAATTCGATAATTGTTCATACAGGACAAAAGGATGTCTTTATTTTGCAAATTGAGAAAATCAAAGTCATCTTCTCCGTCTTTAATTTAAGTTTTCAACTGACTTTCTCTGTCAGTTTCAATGTTTAGGTCAGACACACACATATCTGAAGTTCCACATATTTTGCGTTTTAACTCACTTAGTGTAAAAAATGAATATAAACGTTGTGTCGTCTTTTATGTACCGTTTATGGGTTTTTTTTCTTTTTTTTTTTTTTTTTTTTATATTTTTTTATTTCAACTCTAACAGCGAACACTCATACAATAATCCAAATAATTCAAATGTTTATTTAAGTATCAGTATAATAATATTTTCCAACTAACTCAAAATTAAAAAAATGCTTTTCATGAAGAAGCTTTCATCAATGTTTCATTTATTTTCATCAAAGATATTCTCCTTATTTTTTAGAAATATTATCAGTATTGCTAACTACATATGAAGAATCTTTTTTTTCCAGTCGTGATCGATTATGCAGTATAAATATAAAACAAATGTACTGTTTTCGAAAATAATTGACTTTATCATTAATATGTGTGCTCAGCAAAGCATATAAAAATTTTATTAGAGGTAAGAACATCAGTGTGTCCAGCATATCTGTATTCATTTACCACTACCTACACAATATTGCACCGAAACACAAAAGGAAAGCACTATGGATAAACAGGATTGAATTGTTTAGTCTTGGTGACACTGTATCTATGCAACTCTTCTTCTTAATATCGTGTCAAACCCAAATATTGATAGTGAATTGAAGCTTTCAATTTTAACCTAGTAGTTGAATAGTATGCTTAGTTTTTGTGACAATAGAAATGAAATTTTTTTTGTCGAAATGTGCATTTAATGCAGTAATTTGATAGTGTTCATGTTATTACATTTAGTAATATAAGAAATTAAAATTTAGCGAAAACATGTAAATGGTGTATGTACAATCAACATAATCCTAAAAAAAAATATTTTTAAGTCAAAGGAAAATCTGATTTTTATTTTCCGTTTCAATATAATAGCCTAAGTTTGATTGGGAATCAGTATGGTATAGCAAAATGTGAAATGCTTCAAAAAAGTTACTACAATTTGATTAAAGCTTATAACAAGATACAGAAAACAAAAGAAAAACAACGTAAGATAAAAGGCAAAAAGGTAAAATATATTCATGCCTAAATATCAACAATATACACAGGCGATAAAAATGCATTATTCGATAAAAGTAAAACATAACATTTTTAAAGTTGCATTCACGTTCTACACTGGTATATTTCAGGTGACTTTTGAATTGTTTCTTTTTTTAAATAGTTGTAGATGGAAAATAGAAGACTCTTAACAAAATACTCAGATTTTCCACCAAAGTAATTCACTAACACCAATCGAAAAGGTGAATTTGTCCAAATTATTGATCATGAGTAATAATCATTAGTTTTGACTAGTAAAAACTAGTGATTTATTTCTTAGTAATTTGGGAACATTTTAAGTAATTTATTTTGCTCATTTTAAGTAATCAATATTAGTAATTCATTTATAAGTAATCATAAGTAATATTTTAATAATTTCGGATAACACTGTTTGTCCCATGTAATAACATAACCAAAGAAAGCATATCATACAGTATCATGTTGAAGAAGAACTGTTTATTTACAAGGATGTTGAACTCCGCCACAGTCTGAATGTGCCTGTCCCAAGTCAGGAGTCTGTAACTAAGTGGTGGTAATTTGTTATGATATATCAAATTTGTTTTTCGTACATTTTCATATATCAGGCCGTACGTTTTGTCTTTTGAATTGTTTTACATTTGTCATATCGGAGCCTTTTGTAGCTTGCTATTCGGTAGTGTGTTTGCTCATTGTTGCAGGCCGTACAATAACCTATAGCTGCAAATTTTCTTGTCACTTGGTCTGGTGGAGAGTTGTCTCATTGGCATTCATATCCTATTTTTTTATGATATATTGACATTCACGTATAATTAGAAATTTGAAAAAATAAATGGATCATTATTTTATTCAAATAATGTGTGGTTATAAAAAAGATAAAGACGTTCTATGATTTGGACGATTATGTCATGTAAATAAGTTCTTTAAATCAATACCTCTGTTAATCTTTTTTATTCTAAGAAAATGCCTGTTATGATCTTCAAGTTCATCCGTTCGTCGGAACATCCTATATGGATAAAAGAAAGTATACACATGTACTCATAGATTGGACTAACGGATACTGTATCACACTCTTTAAAATTATTATATGATTTACTCATTGGTATTTTGCCTAGTCGACCTAACAATGTATGACTTCTTTTTGAGAGATCCTTCATCCTTAAAAATAAGTCGATCTTGAATTCTTTTATAACATTATTCATGTTATTGATATTTTTACAGAGGGTGTTTTTATCGACAATATTCATGATACCAATAGAAGTAAATTTGGGTTGACGTGTGATGCTTAATACCTTAATTCAATTTGTCAACGTGTTTTATAAGCATAACACGACGGGTTTCACTTGTAGAGCAAACTCTGCAAACCCGTCTAGATCATCTGAAACTAACCCCTGTTTAGGTAGGGTTCATGTTACTCAGTCTTTGGTTTTCTATGTAGTGTTTTGTGGACTTATTTGTCATTTTGTAGTTATTTATTTATTTATTTGCCATGGTCATGATGGTGTTGTCTTAGATTTTAGTTGTGTTTTGAATGTTCCCTTGGTATCTTCTTATTTTTATTTTATATGTTCCCGTGTTCCATTATATTGTCATTTAGACAGAGAAAATACGATTTTTGTAGTGTTTAATGCAGGACAGCTTGCAAAATTTTAATGGAATCTTCAAATTGTTTATGTGATTGTACTAGTTGTGTATGGACTGTTTTAAACAAACACTTCATTGTTGTACCCCGATTGTTGTAGACAAGTTTTGTAGTAAAAGTTGATTGTTATACAGCGCTTATTGTATCTTTGATATCTTTAAGTTTATTTGACATTCAGTTTCTGCCACAAAAGAAAAAGCTACATTTGAGATACAATTTGTTGAAATTGCTAACCACTTTTTTGTCATCTATATCCTTCTTACAAAAGATTCAAATTTCTGAATTTTGAGTCATTACTACAAAACATATTGCACAATCTGAGTAGGGCCAATTTGGTTTCACTACAGGGCTATTAAAAATTAGTCTTTCAATCTTATCTAAAACTCACAGTATATTTCGTGTTAACTTTTAGGTTTTGACCATAGTATGTCTCGTTTCTAAACACATCAGATAATTATAGACGCCAGAAAATAGCCAAAAACCGCAATTTTGACAGGTTTTTAGCAAATTTTGAGTTTTTTCCCAAAAATATTAGAAGGAAATCTTAAAACAAAACAAAAACTCTGTTCGAAGTGACGCTATATTTTGTCGATAAGCTATAGATATTGGTAAGCGATGTCCTTCGAGGCAAAATTTGACAAAAACATGTAAAATTTGCAACTTTGAATTAGAATGCCTTCACCAGCAACATGTTGTGCTGAACAGCATTTTGATTTAATGCAAATATGTACAATTGTTGCACAATAATCAAAATAATGATGTAAACTCTTTAATGTTCCATTTCAAGTAGGATTTGATATATTTATATTTTACCCTGTGGTTGAAACACATACAAAGGAAATAGATGTACCTCTTTACTCTTTGTGTGAAGTAGCTAACGGAACATCATTATGAAGGATAGGAAAATTGATAATTATTTCTATCATTAAGAAACTACGGTTATATCACTCTCAGGAAGAATTGACCCTTAGTATATTCGGCTAACTGTTTCTATCCCTTTTGATCATATTGCTTCTTAATATTTAAGATTAAACACCCTTGACTATAACAATTTGCGGTAGGACATTCCTGATGAAAGTAAATCCAGAGAAGCATTTCGGACGCATCAAAATTATTTACTAACTATTTTTGTGAAGTAATTTCATGTATTGCAATTGGTTTAAGCTAATTTAAAAAATGAATAAACATATAGTCCATACAAGAGTGGTCTCTGCAACATTAAAACAAGTATATTTGCATGATGACATAATGTATGTATGTAACACAAAATGTGTGTTGTCTGTTTTCTACAGTTTGATAACAGGGCCGTAATATTGCTTAATGCTAAACTGTTTTACTTTTTAGGTTCTTGAACAGTCTGTCTTAACTGATGCCTATCAGATGAGGGATGATGCGCTTCTCCTTTATGACGCCATCAAAAATTACGTTCAGAAATATGTGACTCACTACTATGGTAAGTTTTTTATATAACTCATTTTTATCATATTTGTTCCTTAAAAATACCAATTATCGGTTTATGAAAGTATAAGCCTTTTTGCATTTATTCACTGTATTCAAGCATTACAGCTCTAGCATGGTTCTTACTAATCCCAACACTTAGAACATTGAATTGCAAACATAAATCAGTATATAAAAATACGAAGATGTGGAATGATTGCCAACGAGACAACTCTCCAGCAGAGATCAAACGACACAAGCGTTCAACAATGACCAAAACCCATACCGCATAGCAAGCTATAAACGACCCAGCAATTAGAAATGTAAAACGTTTCAAACGAGAAATTTAACGGCTTAATTTATGTACAAATCAATAAACGAAACGCAATTATAATGTACAGCAACAAACGACAACTGAACAACAACTGAATTACAGGCTCTTCACTCGAGACAGATTCATACAGAATGTGGCATGGTTAAACATGGTTAAACATGGTTAAACTCTCCCAGCGTGACACGAACACCAAGATGAAAAAGCCATATGTATTATGTTATCTTTTGAAACATTGAGCGTTCGTCTTAATTTATCAATGGCAGTATTGAATGTCTAAAGTGGTTAACAAGATGTTTATTTCTGTAACAGAAAACGATAGTTCACTTCAAGAAGACAATGAAATACAGGACTGGGGTGCAGAAATTGTTATGTCAGTAGATGATGGTGGTGCTGGAGTTAAGGTTTGTAATTTGTATCATTTTATATTTTATATGTTTACAAACTCCTAACACAATGATGTATTGATTTAGAATTGAATGGGTTATTTGGTTGTAAAGTTTAAAACACATTAGATTTTGTCTGTGTCTTATTTGCTATCGGTTTCATATTTTCTCGGACAACCATCCAATCTGTTGGGCATTAACTATGTTGTAAACAATATAGCCATTCAACCAATTTTCATTTTTGAATATATATTATATATTAAATTATAGCAGAATGTAACTTTAACACATAAAGAGTTATATACAAACTAATTGTATTATATGTTAAATATATAAATGTATCACATACCTAATAAATACAATTGCATAGGGAATACAGCTGGAAATAAGCATATCATATCAGCATACCTGAATAAAGTGCCCCTCAGACTGAAAATTCTTTATTAAGGCCTATTAAGGTGGCTGGGGCGTCTTAATTAAAATTGATAGAATTTTTTGATAATTTGTGAAAATTATGCTTTTTTCAAAGATATAATAAAAAGTATGGGTCACCGAACTTTTTTTCACGCTAGAGGTTGTGCAAAGTTGTCAGATTTTGTATAGATTATGCATGGAAAATCAAATTTTGTGTGATAAAAAGAAAACTACTTGATAGAACTTTAGGATAAAATGTTAGAAGATAGCTCTTATAAGATGCTTTGAGATAAGAAAGAGAAAAATGGGGTCACCGAACTTGTTTTCTTGCTACATATCAAAATAGGTAAATTCACAACACTTTCTATTATAAAAATTACTTTATCTGAGTTATCTCCCCTTATTTGGCAAAGTTGAAAAAAAATCTAATCAAACACAAATAAGTTGGTTTTGAGAAATTACAGCCGTAATTATGATAAAACACACAATTTTCTATATTTACATCAAAAGTCTTTTACATAAATGACTACTCTCAAAATTTGCACATTTCATGAAATATCTAGACCAACGTTATCTGCTACTTCGAAATCCAAAATGGAGGAAGACACCCGAGCCACCTTAAGCTCCTTATTTGGTCATATTTTTTGTCGTCTAAATAACAACCTTTTTTCATGTTTTGGGGTGTATGTTATATTTAAATGCGTTTTGCTTAAATATACTTTTTCACTTTTTTGGTATTTTGGAAAATGTTGTTTGTGCTGTATTTAGACCCCTCTTACAAGAAATTTGTGTTGCATGCACACGTATAAATATTGCGGTTTTTATCCAACGCAATCATAGGTTTGAACGTTGTTTTCAATTTAGACTTATATATATCAATAAACAGTACTAGAACACCCGCAACATGACGGTCCGTATAACTGAATTAAATTGCTACGTCTATTTTTAACAAGGGTTTTGTGTATTCGTCTTAAGTTTGTTATCTGGTGAATTAGATGCACAGTGTTCTATGTTCGAAATGGTTTTCTGTGTGAACCTAGTTTATCTGTAATAGTTATACACCGAGGTGTGTAACTAACTTACACCACATTCTAAACCCTATATTTGTTAACATTGATTATTAAATGAAAAAAAACGATAGCATATTTATTGACAATATCAAACCATGATTTATAAAAATATTTTTTTTTTTTTGTTACATGAAACCCCACTAGTAACCTTTCTTTGGTTATCTTCGTTCAAACTTTGACAAGTGAGTATATTTTACAAATGTCAAGTTGTTTTGCATATTCCCGTTAAATCCATGTGCTAATATGGATCAGCAGGTCAAGGTTGACTGTTTCGTGTATTCTTATTACAAACAAAAAATACATCATACTCCTGGTATACAGTTGTCAATATGGACGGGTATAAGACGGACGACATTTTGTGGCAAGCGTTGGATTTGGTATAAGAGACTAAAGACAAAGACAATATTAAAACCCAAAGTACTTACCTGTATCAATTTAATAAAGGTAATCATAACTGTATTTTATATCTTACGATTTTATCAAAAACAAAAAAAAAACCCTCCCCCTCTTCTCGAGAATAATCAAACATTCATATTCGAACATACTAAGGGATAGGTGTGTCTGCATTAAAAACCCGACTACCAGACACGCTCAACATACAATATTTAATATAGAAGAACTCCCTTTTTGGGGGCAATCAGGGGCTGACCCCGGAGGTTCCCAACTCAAGAGAAAAGGGGGGTGGGGGTCCAACCATTCAAATGCATTGATCTTTTAAATAAAAGACGGGTCCAACCCGCGAAACCCCCAACCCCGGATCGGCCACTGGGAAACGGGGGGGGGGGGGGGGCGGTCCGGGGTTAGAATCCCCATTTTTTTAAAGATCAATGCTTTAGAATAGAGACATATGACTGCGATAAAAAGAAATTACCTTCAAGCAAAAGAGTATTTAAAGGATTATTTTTGTATTCCATATAGATGCTTATTGGAATTTCCTAAAATGTTTTTTTTTTTTAATATCATGAAACAATTTGTAGTGAACACTATTAGCAATTTCTTATGTTCATGCTATTTAAAAAATCATCAATTTTCTATTGTTACGAATAACAATGGGCTTTGTATGCGGGGTGTAGAAGCAGGGATTTCCAGAAACCCCGCTCGTCACACCCTGTGGTCAAAATCCATTGTTATTCGTAAACAATAGATCTGTTCAATTTACACATGTTTCAGAAATAGAAACTATGAAGTATAACAGTAGAACTGGGGTGTAATCTTTAATTCGGAACTTATTTTTAAAGTAAACACGATCAGCGCACATGCGCAATAAATCTCCAACTAAGGTCAATCATAGCATACATAGGTTGCATACATATAGATAGAAACGAAATAGAATTAACATCTTTCAAATCCATAATGAATCAGTGTGTTAGCTAATTTTGACAAAATTGAAACGAATTGACTACTGAGTATGTTCACGAAGAGCTTAGATATGCCCTTCAAATTCAATTGTTTTTTATTTTAATCAGGACAAATTACTACACATTTCATATGGACACAGTTGATGTATGATGCTAAATATCTTGATATAACTTGTCAAAGTATTTCATAAGAGTAACACGATGGGTTTCTCTTCGAAGCAGAAAATACTAACATTTCCGGATCATCTGAGATCACACCCGGATTTTTACATGTTTTAACGTTCGCATTGTATTGAAGTTGGACAGATTAGGCGTGTTTATTCACTTTCATATTTTAGGGTTACAAATGACTGACAAGAACTTTGGGAGTTTTCTACTTGAAAGTGAAGGGCAAAAGTAAGGATTAAAGACCTAAATGGCAAGAGCTTGTTTATCATCGTTAAAATACTTCGAAAGACTATCAATTTGCATCAGCTGTTCATGAAATAACCCTTTTCTTATAAAACCAAGCTTTCAAAAGGTGCATTTCAGTATTGTTGCTAATGTCATAACTTTTTATCTATCTTGAAAAATAATTCTTAGTATAATAATGTTAGTAGTTTGTAAGGTCAGTGTCATTTTGACTGTATATGGTCGAAAGCTTGATATTTTGAGCTTTTTAATTAAAACCATTATTTTGACAAATGGTCTAATATCTGAAATATGACAAATATGCAGGATTCGATACTATAATCTACCGTTACTACAACCAAATTAATATACCTTTTCTTTTAGACAGAATATAGAAAAGGGAAAAATATCAAAATTGATAACGATTTGTGAAGTTTTAAACGACTGTGACCATTTCTGAGCGTTCTTATAGTAAACGGTTTCGCCTTTCAAATTAGATATTATTCAAGTGCGTGTTCGATGGGAAAATTCGATTTAAGATATCCTGTCCTTGTTAACCGCACTATTAAGCAATATTGTAATAGTACAAATATCAGTAAAAAATTAACGCTAACTTGAACTGCAAAAAAAATAAAATATGGGTATTACAATACATATATCATTAGTTCTAAACAATATTTCTTGTGTTAACGAACGGTTCATCATTAGGACAAACATGTGCAACTAAGGTTCAGATAAAAATCGACGAACGGTACCGGTACAGAAAACAAATTATACACTGTAAATGGTAATTTTATTAATGAAATTCCTACAATTACAACGCAATAGACATATTCTACAGGACAATACGTTTGCATTTCATATACCAGTTGTAATTTTAAGTTAATTGTTTGCATATCTTAAGCATTTGTATCGCAGTTTTGAGATTTTTGTTTGTCAATATATGTGCATTTTTAAATTGGAATTTCATAATTAACATAGGTTACTTAATTAACATGCATACAACGTGTATGACACATTTTGTGTATGTAAATTGTGTATATACATAAGCTATATTTTAATATTGTATATTAACTCCTTACATTATTTGTTATTTTGTCGCTTCAGAACGTACAGCTTTGGGAATAAATTGTACATCGATTATATATCATGAGATGACGGTATATTGTTCAATGACTTTATTTCATTTGTTTGGCATCAACCATTTTATTGCTACCTGTAGGAAATCAAGAACGAATATGTATGCAAGTGCAAAATATTTAAATTTTTTTTCATTCGCTTGTGTTTAAAATTGTTTATTACCAGCCTGTATTAGTTTCCTGTCTGGTATTCTGTCTGTTCGTCAGTTAGTCCGTCTGGTCATGGTTAAAGTTTTGGTTGAAGGTAGTTCACCACTTAATATTGATCACATCAACTTGCAACTTATTGCATGTGTTGGTCATGGTGTGAACGTTTTCAAAACTATATTTAGAATAAGGGCTTTGAACCAGATATTCATTGTAGTGGTTAACTAACCATGGAAATATAATAGTGTTGGGGAGAAAGGTGTCCTGTAGATTTTTGTTTCTAAAATACATTTTGAAATAAGTGACATCATTGAATGGTGATGAGAAGAACATTTCTTCCGACCAAGTTACAAAAAAAATCGATGAAGCGCCCTTGAAAATAGATAATGATTCAGTGCTATGCAAGCGATTTGATTTCATCAAACATTGGAAAAGCTTGAAATAGCATTCTCTTAGAATACCAGTTATCATCATCTTAAATTTTGACGTAATTAAGTTTTTTTTATTAAATTCCTTCTTTTCCAAACTATGTTACATTTCGGAAAATATGTTTAAAATAACGAAATGGATTTGGTACTGCAGTCACTTACTTGGAAGGTCGTTTGTCATCTGTCAATAACTTTCGTTATTAATTATTCAGCTTCTGTTTCAATTACTAATTTCATATTGCGTCCGAAACTTTAAATTGTACCGAATAATCGATTTTCTATCTGTTTGATGAATAACTATTTTAAAAACTGGGCATGAATGTTTGTCAGTGCAATGGTTTATCACAAGTGATTGTTACAGTGCATGACGTCGCTAGAAGACTTTGTTGCATTTTGTATAGGAGCATTAATTTTTCGGAAGACTTTTAATTTTACAATACTCACTGGGATAGGACAATTTAAATTTATATAAACAACCGTATTTCTTATGATATTCTCAGAAACATAGAACGTGTATGTACGTACATGATTACATGAATGTGCTTGAAAATCACACTAGCACATGGTATTATATCACTTGCAGGGCGTCAAAAATGGAGGGAGATTTGAAACAACTGACCACCTAGTTATGACATTGACACCAATCATTTATGCATGTAGCGTTGGACATGCTGTAGCCAACTACCAACAGTATGAAGAGTATGGAGATCCATTTAATTACCCATTTATTATGCATGGAGTTCCTCCTAAGGAAAAGGTGAGATGTGTTCTGCTATCTCGTTCAAAATAAAAAAAACAAAGCAGATATAAAACTCCTTCATACCAGTTGGAATCCATTGAAACGAAACACATAAGCATATATCAAATGTCGTGGCCTTTATATACCTTTTCAGCTGATGGTTGAAGGTCTTCAATGATGAGTTAAGATACTCTGCTGGCGATAAAATACCAAAACGGCAGCAAAAACCGCCACAAATGTATTTTTCAAACAAAGAATGTATATAGTACTAGTAATACACATGCCGTAACCTGTATGCAATTTATGCTTTCTGATTTGTTTTCATTCTGTTTAATTTTCGCTTACTGTTACCATAGACTTGTTAAAAGTTTATATAATACTACTTTTCTTTTAGGTCCTCTAATGTATGCATGTTTAATATATGTAAACAAAAAAGTATAAATGCATATTTTGGTAAACGTTGATGATTTAACTAAAATACTTAATTATGGCCCAATATTGGTTTTACTTTTTCTTTTTTCTTTTTATTTTAAAGGTTAATAATGTTTTATTTATTCATATCAATTTTGTGCTATTGTGTCTAATAATCAGGAAGTAAAAGAATTAAAGAAAAATGTGAACCATTAACTATATTTTAGCTTCCTGAAAAAAACAAGACTCATCTCATTTATAATTGTTTTCCCTTGCTTGATATAGACGTTGATCAATTTGACCGTGTTTAACCGTACGAGGTACGCTCACATATTCGAATCTAGGGATATACAAGTTTAAATGAATAATAGTATAACTAAATATACAAAATGAACTCTTTTAGAGTTAAAGTAGATTAAACTTGGAATAATTCGAACAAAATTTGATTAATTTGCATTTGTTTTGATATTACATGCCTCAAGACTTTGCACCATAGTCAATTGTTTACTTCAATTTTATATCTCATACTACCTTTGACTGAAATATCGTTGAATACATTGGAAAATATGCGTTTACAATAACTTCCAAGTCCAATTATATAGCATTATCATAAAGAAAATGGCATTGGTGAATTTATTTTTGGCGAGTAGGATGACACTTAGTAGTTTTTGAATTTTTCAATTATATTTACTCGTTTGATAACTTATGTATTGACATTGTTTTTATTATTTATTAATGATTAAAACGCGTTTGTATTATATTCATAGGACTCGACCTGAATAGTATATTATACGTTTTAGTGTTTATTGGATACACATGGTCAGTTATGGGTTGGGTGTCTTTTTGTGTGTTGCTTTGAGTAATTTTGTACAGCCTTCGTGCCATTACCCCCATATCCGTTTATTTACACAAGCCTGCATTTCGTTTAACACCACCATTACCAATCTAGAAAAAGAGTGTTTAGTTGTTTTAGGGTTCAATGAAATGAAGATTTGTTTACGCCTTGCAACAAACTCGGAGTGACATGTTGTTTTAAGTAGATCATGTAGTTACTTATAAGTAAACGGATACGCTTTAAATTGACCGTCTTTTAATAAGGTTGTGAACTCATAGTTGAGAAAAATTCGGTGTGCTGTTAACACAAGGATTTTCAAACATACTTGTATAAAGTAAGAACCAAGTAGCTTCTAGAAGTATCTTTTTAAGGATTTTCTTCAATATTTCGCCAGTTAGATTGTCGAATATGGATTGAAACATTACTTTTTTATGATTTCTTAATCTAAATATCTTACACATACAACAGGCTTATATATATATCTTTCTCAAATCAGAATTTCCGTCGGTGCCATAGCCACTTTAAATTCTTTGAATGAGGGTTTTGTTTTTTGTGTCGTCTATTTGCTATGAAACGCAAATTTGGTAGACTGTTTTACGATGTTAACACTTTGTATGATTACCTATGGATTTTATGTTGGTTAAATGTGTTGATGTATTGCTGTTACATGATGTTTACCTCGCATATATTTATTCTTCAAGCACAACAAAAATACTTAGTAAAGATCTATATTTTTCATAATTGTAGCAGTAAACACTAAATTGCTTCAGCTATGTAAAGTTGAAGTATTACTTCATATTTCACCTCTCAAACAAAATTAGCTTAGACTTCTTTGTAAAGAAAGTATGTGTCTGGAAATACTATTTGTGTATATACACTGAGGTTGAAACGATAAATGACATCGACCTTTTAATCGATTGCAATGGAAAATCGAGACAACTTAAAACAATAAAAGATGCACACAAAAGAACGACAATCGTAAAAAAGGATAAACACGTAATCATGGTTATATATAAACAACAGCTCTAAATTCTTAAGTGAGGGCAAAGTTATATTAACTACACATTTGTGTTTTTGTCAAATTTAAAATTTAAGGGTGAAGTGTCGATTGAAACTATTTTGCAATCTATTGCTACAAAAGACGAACTTCTAAAATTAATGGCAATCACGAAACTACTAAGTGAGAAAGATAAACAGAAACTTGGTGATTTTGAGGAATTGACATTTACAGATCCACCAGCCATTCAAATACTAGAAGAGTAAGTTTAGAAATCAGGCATCATTAATATTTCTGATATTCATCTACATTGTTTTTTTAACTTTTAAGGAGAAAACGAAAATATAATGTTTTACTATATATAACTAAATGTATATAATGAATCGTAACCTGGTTATTTAATCAGATATATGTAAAAAAAAAAAAAAAAAATCTTTTTTATGTATGCATTTTATAATATATTCCAGAATAAAATTATAAGAAATAAACAAGTGGTTTTTTTTCTCTAGCGCTGTCATCCATCTGTATGGACACTGATAACGTTGTTAAGGAAAACGACGCCGTATAAGATAATATGGCGTTACTTTAAATTAGATAAGTTGTATAACTCTTCTATTGAGGTGTTTATCTTTGGTTAAAATATCTTAATGAAATGTTGCTTCATTTCAAGTCGGTGTACTTCGCACCCCTTGTTGCGTTTGAAAGGTGCGAATTTCTGTCAATTGGGAAAATATCTAAAATCTGTCTTTCAACGTAGTTATAATATTTTGAACATACGCTGCATTACGGTTCAGTACAAATTTTAACTGAACAATTCTTTCTGTTCCAATAAAAAAAAATCATCAAAGATAACAGGCTTGGAATTTAGCTCTTATTAAATGCCTTTTCTAATTGTTTGGCTGTCGGTGGCTGTAAATGAAATTATCCTTCTAATCATTTCTTTCATTCCGAAATAACTGGACAGAGGGAAAGAGTTCACATGTCTTTGAACTTGTTTAGATCATCATTTGATTTGATCCTAAATATCAACAAGATATCATTTCCAATGTTCTAGAGCACATTTACGGAAATCTTGGTCAAATATTTCCGCTTCTTTGTAGTACAAAAATGTTCTAGATGGTCCATTATCAGATTTGCATATGAAGCAGCAAGTTTTGTTCCTAAGTCTAGAATTTGAAATCTTTATTTTTTCATTCACTCGCAGGTAGAAAATAAAAGAGCCGACCTCAAAAAGGTTCGACATTATTGGCAATCGTGCAAATGTACACATGTTTTCTATTCTACAAGATCCAATACTGTAAAATAAAAATACCTCTCATCAAAAACAAATGAATCCGACAAGCAAACTAAATATGTGAACATTTTCGTGAACTGTAATAGAAATGTCCTTCAATCATGTATGTATATGTAAGAGAATGATAATCCCTTTCTTCATGATTAAGTACGAGCGTTAGCGAGTACTTATCATGAAGTAAGGGATTATCATTCTCTTACAAACTTAGAATATTGTAAAGTGCTCAAGGCTCAAATGATCTCTTAATTGGTTGTATATAAGAATTAGATTCATTGTTAGTGCAATGTTTATAATTAATGCATGACTTCCTTTTTAGGCATTTCGTTTATGGATTAGTTTTAGTGATGTGAGGACTTTCTTATCATTTGGGAAATATTTTTTAAAAAATGCGTTATACATATTATGTGACACAACAGAACAAAGAAAATGAAGGAATTGTATATGTTTTCTGATTGTGAGTATGAATGTAAATCATGTAATGTTTTAGTGTGGAATTATCCTTTTTTTTTAATTTACAGTTGAAATCAATTGATACATTTGAGTTACAACTAAATTTTAGTTAGCAGCCAATATTTTGGTACGGCTTTTCAGTACATCAAATACTATTTCATTATGTCAGGGAAATGTTCAAATAAAATGCCTTTAAAATTTTTTAATATGTTCAAGACTTAAACAAATTCCTGTTTTTTTTTTTCATCAGAATATTGGAAATAACTATTCTTCCAAACCGCTGATCCAGTGATCAAAGTTTTTGAAAGCTATAAAGATTTAGGTATTTTGTTTATTTTAAAGCTTTTTTTTCTACCAATTTTACTGCACAGTAAACTTCAACTTATTTTGAGTTTTTTGTTTGTTTCACAATTCAAATTTTAGTCAGTTTTAATCACTGTGTGATAAATCCTTTCAATCGGATAAATGTGCTTCGGGGTAGTTGTAACTCATTCATAGAAACTCGTTGTTTTGAACTGTAAATAGACCCTCATAATAGGATAATCCCTTACTAAGAACATGATTTACATTCATTCTTCACAATTAAGAGGCATCAAATCCTACAATTTCATTGGTCGAGAGCACTTTGCTATATTCTAAATGTATACTGATTCATATTAACATACATTAATTAAGACCATTAAAATCGGGAGTTATTTTTTATTTGTTCAAAATGTAGCAGATTAAAAATAATCTGATGAGAAGAATTAAACAATATGGTTGTAGATCTTAAAATAAGAATATTGTAGAATTTAAAGTCCAACAGTGATTGTACTACTAGTACATGTAGTAATAATTTCAAAACATATACTTCTTTTAAACCACAGTTTGGTTACATAACTAAACTTTTGTTTTAAACGGTACCATTACAAGGTTTAACGACATTACATATTTAATTGAAGAATTTTAAATGATTGGTACAAGGGTAATCTCATCAAACGCTTTTTGCATACAAGTCTTGGAGGTGAATGATACATGCTAGTTTTTATTTCATTGCGTCAAATTTAAATTTAAAAAAAGAACAATCTACGCTTCTAGATAAAAATAAGGAAAATGCTGTCCTCATTTAATATCTCTCAATATAGATGGTTTTTATTTATAAATCCCACAAACCATAAGTCAGCTTTTATTATTGTCAGTAAATGTATTTTTAAAAAGGTTGACAACTCAGTACCTAGCTGGGGCAGTTTTTGAAGGTTGAAACTATTACCTTTATCAATGCAATGGGCGTAAGTAAAACAAGCCCAATGTGTGACGTATTAACCAAGTTGCGTAAACGTAAGCTACATTACACTTTAATTGATGTATACCAAATTTGGTATATTTCGACCGTTGTTGTACTCTCATTTTTAACCTATTCTCTGCTTTTCTCAGAATGCTATAACTATCTTCGTTATTGTATGGAAGAAACTTACACGTTGACAGATTTTACACTGGTAATATACATTAACAAAGGAACGGTTCCGTCCGAGAAAAAAATGTTTTGAATAAAACATGTTACATCATTTTATCACATTAAGAGTGCTGTGATAAACTCATGTGAAAAATATGGCAAAATTTTACAAACTTGTGAACAAAGGGGAGATGATACAAACGAGGCTATCAAAAACCATAAGTCGAAGAAAAATAGACAATACCATGGCCAAAAATTAAAAAAAATTAACAGACCAAAAACTGTCCATAGAACATTACAAAGAAAACTAACAATTGAGCACTAGAAATCCAACAACATTTATTTTGGAATGTATTAAGTTTAGAGCGCTGTAACAAAATTAATTATATAAAATACATCTTTCGAGGTATAACGTTTTAGTACGCTAAATGAGTCACTTAGCTCAAATAAGGATTCCATCCGATGTGTGCAGTTTTATTCATATTTGATATATTTGGTCCCCCGATCACAAATTTGAATAGAATTATTATATTGGATTGTATTGTCGTTTGTATCATTTCAAGACATATTATTATTTTGTGATATATTAACATGGGAGTGTGTAATATTCATACGTTGAATGAACATCAAACTAAATCCTGTATTTAATCTTTGCTCCTTTTTTTTTAAATAAAAATAAACCAAAGAGGAAATTAAAACCAAAATTATTATGTCACTAATTTTCTTTGTTGTTTTTCTCGTAGGTTTCAACAAAACTTGAGAGATATTGGTAAAACAATTGACGAACGGAACAAATTGAGAGAACCAGCTTATGACTGGCTTCATCCAAGAACTATACCAAATTCTATTTCTATTTAGAGTTATCGCTTCAATCAACAACGATAACACCATCATATAAATATGTTGCATGCTGACTTTTATGAGAATATTATTAACTTAATGAATGTGCCTTGTGAAGGAATTATGCGAAAAGAAAAAAAACTTGAATTTCTTTATACTTTGCCAAAATGCAGTTTATATCGTGAACCTTAAAAAAGTAAATACAAGTATAAATCACCATACAGGATGTTAAGCTGCAGATGGTGCCGATTTCTAACATTTTGTGAGGGTTGTACATAAGGACAAACAACCGTACTGAGTGACTTTCGAAAACAAATATGTTTTTTTTTTTTTTTGCTTTAAAAAAACAAAACAAATAAAACTGGGTTTCGTATTCTTTCCCGTATTCCATAACAACATCGATCAAAATATTCCACACTTTTCATAATCAGTCAAAAATAAAATTGGTATTAGTGAAAGTAATATTTTAACCCTTTCATTAATAATATGAATTTATCCCTCCTACCTGTCAGATTATTATCTAGCATGTCAACTTACAAATCTTACAAGCCAACTTATAAATTTGACAAGAAATGTAAGTGGTTATATAAAGTTACATGATGTATGCTGCATAATAGAGGTAACCGGTGAGATCACGAACCGACGAATAATGACGAACGAACGTATTGGGAACAGTGATTTTCATATTGGGTAAAGCTCATTAAAATCTAATAATCGACTAAAATAACCCTTGACACCTCACAAAGTTTCCTTTATTAGAAAACAATGATAAAATACGAGCTTTCAAGTATAAGGATGGATATATAAGACAATGTATTTTTAACTTATATACCGGAAGTGCCTATGTACGGATTAAAACGAAACAGTACGTATAAATGTATTTATACTGCACTCGTTCTATTTGAGCAGTCAAAATGCGTTGACCGTATATTTCTATGTCATATACAGTCACTGACCTGATATCACTTTTCCTCATGAATATTTAAATAGAAATTGCCGAAATTATAATTAATTATTCATATGACCTATTCAACCTGTTCTTGTTTCCAATGTATACAACGACTCAAACTTATTTCTTTTGCAATTTTTAGAAAAAAAACATATTTCACTTGTTAATATTTTTGGTTTGCAAACTATAAATCATTATGTTTTATGCTTATTGTTGATATTTTAGTTCATTCTCAAACAAATTCGTTCACCATCGATTGCGGGTTTCAACAGGTAATGTACATTTCATCGTGTTGTATATTTCTCCGACTGCATGATATGAGGCCTTTTTATAAAAGGGGGAAGTTTCCCAATATTTAAATCAAATAATAACATTAACACATTAAACAACAATTGAAAATGTTTTTTTTAGATTGCAGTATAAAGACAATAATAGTGCATTGACTTGACATATCAACGATATAAGGATTCGGCCCGAAACGGGGAAAAAGCTCGGCAGAGCCTCGCATTTCCCCGTTTCTAAGCCTCATCCTTATATCGTTGATATGTCAAGTCAATGCACTATTATTGTCTATATACCTGTGGTGATCACCTTCTACACTTTTAATAGTCACGTGGAATGATAGCATGATTTAATCATGAGGACAATCTTTTAAATACCACGGTGCATGTGTTTGATAGAAAAACATATAGAAGATATTGAATACATATTTGTCCAAAAATAAACATTTAAACTATTAGGGACCGACCATTTAACTTAAAGGTTTTTTTATGCGGCGCGACAAATTATTTTTTTCAAATTTAACATTATTTTTTGTGGTTATTATCCAAGATAAGATTTTTTTCTTCCTTACCTGGCCAGATTAATTGTTTTCTCAAAATTCAGAATCAAATACATTATTTCCGAAAGAAACATGCCCCCGCCCCCTCTTCATGTTAAATGGTCGGTCCGGGACAAATGATTTTTTTTAATTATTTGTTGCAAATTTCTTGCAAGGGACTGTAAGGGACTGTCCCTTACAAGAAATTTGCAACAAATAATAAAAAAAAATCATTTGACACCAGCTCCGATCCTAGAATCAAAGAGTCGTCCCCTAACCCCCATTTAGTATGCGGTATTGCTGGTATTATTTCATATATTTGGTCCGTGAAAAAAGAATAGTACGCCGAAAAAAAAAATTGGAACTTAATACGCTGGAATTATAAAATTATATTATTATATCTTATTTGGTTATTCGTCGTTTATTCTGCGAAAGAACACATAGTATATATGAAGTTTTCTGTTAAGTATTCGGTATTCGTTTTTTTCTTTTTTCCCTAAGTACAAAGAGTACAAGGAATCTCCCCCCTTCTTTTGTTATTTAGCTCATTCTAAACAATGATTCGGATTAATACAAATTTTCAGTTAATTCTTTCTTAAGCTTTGCATGTATGCACCCAAGGAGGGGTCACTTCCTATATAAAAGTATGTACAGACGTTCCGCTAGAATTGGTCAGTCATTTTTCAACTTGTCAAATACATGACTGGGTATGAAATTTAAACCTTATTATATGACTAGGCCGGTAATTTCAGGCCTAATATATGACTAGGCGAAAATTATCAGGCAAATCTATGATTGGGGCAGAAATTTTGAACTAAGGGACCAGCCATTTAAATTGAAAATGGGGCTGGGGGAAGGGCATGTTCAAGGAAGGGCATGTTCAATTTTCTCGTCAGAAATTATTTTTGTCTCTTCCATTTCTAGCCATTTTTTTTTTTCATTCAGTTTCTAAAAATTTGGAATCAAATTATTTATTACCGAAAATACCCCCCTCTTTTCCATGCAAGTTAAATGGTCGGTCCCTAAACTCATGTTTTGGTCACAATTTCAACGCGAAATGTGTGTACCGTTTGGGAGAGTTTGGTACTGCATCCAATTAAAGTTGTTACTTGTTTTTAAAAGCTTCAAGTTTGCAGGTAGTTGTATCTTGTCAGATACCACTTTTCTATCAAAGGAGTTGTTATTTGCATACATGAACTGTTGTTCTTTTTCCTTTCCCAGCATGCTCATGCATTATTCAAACCAAGAAGTAAATATAGTAATACAGATGACAGCTCCATGGTGACAAATAAATAAAAATACTAAAGCAAACGTGATCTTCATTTTAAATTTACATAAAACATAGACTGACTAAATATTCAATCTTGATTGGACGGTCTATCAGACCTTCAAAGTTTACAATAAAATGTATATATACATGTATAAGCATTATTAACACAATTAAATTAACTTGAAATTAATGATCCCGCTTCTTGTCATACGGCAAAGTAGGTGATACGTTCGTGATTCGTACGTGATTCGTGATCTCACCGGTTACCTCTATTACAACGGGGTAATCTAAAGGTTCGCTTCTTTTAATACATTATATGTTTAGACCCTAAAACATGTAATAACAAATCATGGCCCGTATGCATAAAGCTACTTAAGTTAAGATTTGTTCCGAACGGACGGATTTTTCCTCATGTCCTACGATAAATTAGTATTACGATTGGATATCTTAACTTAAGTAGCTTTATGCATACGGGCCCATATTCACATGACAAGACAGTATATGTAACATATCGGCAAAGGGGAATAACTAAAATTTATTACTAATTTCTTTCAAATATCAATATATTCAAATAAGCCCTTTAAACACAAAAATCTAACTTTTTTGTTAATTTTCCAATACAATATTCACATATATCTCATAATAACAACTAAATATATACATCTCAAATCTCTTAATGAGTTGTCCATTGTATAAATAGATTTGTATACAAAGTATGAATTCTGATCAACATAAAAATATCACACAAACTACATTTCACAAAGACAGGCAATTACTTATGTAGAACTAGACAGCACAGACATTACAAGTAAACAACATAGAAATAATGCTTACCATATATGGTACATAGGTCAGTGTGCTGGTTTGAAAATAGCACAGTGCTGTCACTACTCAATACATATCCTGAATAAATAATAGTATAACATTCATATGTCCAATGACGGGACTATTTCACTGATTGAATAAAATAAATTTAAAATATGTAGTTCCGGAGTTCTGTATTATTCAAATACGAAATTTATCTATTTATCACTTTTAATGCAACTTTATAATATATAATTAAAGTACTAGAATATTTTATATTAAAAGGTTTGATATGACTCTGTGTTATTATTTTATAATTTAATCTTTTACTCTTCCATACTCCAAATATTCATTCATCCAATACATACATTCAATCCCTTTCATAAAGTATTAAAATGACAAACTATTAATTTGTTATTAATAATAAGGTAAAGCAACTGACCTGAATATAAGAATATGGAAAATCCAAGAATATGAAGAATTATGAATATAACAAATAAATTTATCAAATAGGTAATTATTCAATACTGCATTTCAATATGTCTGCAGTCTAAATCTAATAGAAGCAAAGAAAACCTATAGTAAGGCCTATGACCCAAAGATTGACCAATCAAAAGGTTAGAATTTTCCCTCCAAAATGATGTGAAAGAAAAGAGTTTCACCAAAGGGAAAAGAGAATGATACTAGAACATTAGTGCTAGAAATAGAAACAATGAGTAACTGAAATATCAAAAACTCTAATAAGATTAATAATCAACAATACGATATTTAATATATCAATCCAATAAAGCTCTTCCACACTAATATAATGGTATTTACAATGCTGTGACACTTGTTTCACTCAAATACGCTTTAAAGTCATCACTTTCATCGCAACCTCTGAAAAAAGTTTACCACATCACACTCTAATCTATATTTTGCTGATTAATAAGTATAACATTTCTTTCAAAAAAACACATCGTGATTACATCATCGTTTACTTATTTTATTTTGACCGGAACTGCAGTGTACATGCAATATGTGCAACTTAAGATTCCTTTACTTTTATTATAATTATTATTACAATCATTTAATTTAATTAAACGATTCGATACCTTATGCATCATTATGTATATGCGATATTGTTTCTAACCTATACGCAATACTTATTCAAGGCGTACTGTTTCATGCATTGCACAAAAAGCACTAAATAACCTGTTAAAAAATTCAATCTTTATTTTACCAAAGAAAGGTTAGATAAGGCTACTTTAAAGCCCAATGATTTTGAAAATAAAAAAAAAACAAAGGTTTGCCAGATAACATATTTGAGATGTGCATAAGACATTAGACTGTTACCTCAAATGGTTGCATTTGGGCTTCAAACTTCATGATTTTGTGTGGAAATGCAAAAACTGCCTAAATAGCACCATTTCGAGATCTTTTTATTAATATTTCGATATGAGTCAGGGTTTTACAAAAAAAAATGGTGTAT